ACCAACCAACCAACCAACCAACCAACCAACCAACCAACCAACCAACCAACCAACCAACCACTTTCTGCTAAATAACAGGTTAGGAAGACTGTGAGCCACCCAGAGCCGCTGGGAGCCGGGTCCCATTCCAGTTTAATAAATAATAATCGCCTTCATCATCTGAGCTTGTTTGCAGACGCTCCAAAACTGCACCTCGTTTCTGACCGGACTGGAGACCGGAGACCGGAGACCGTCTGACCCAGCAAAAGGGACAATCGAAAGCGAAAACCCGAACTTGCTGACGGGGAAACAGGCTCTTGGAGCCGCAGCCAAACCTGGTTGCGGGATGAACCCATTTTACAGGTTCTGCTATACGCAGAATCTTCGACTCATCCAACGGGGCTGGATTTATCACAAAGGGGAAGGACCCCCCCCCGCCAAAAAGGAACCAAGTTAATACTAAGTAAGCTTAGAGTGCTGAGCAAACACGTCTCCTAGATCATTTATCTGACTGGCCTTGGAGGGGATTTACTCCCCATCAAGGCTGACTCATCCGTGCCGTCGACCAGGAGGCGGTTTTGGGAACCGGTCTCAGGGTCCCTCTTTTCGCCGGAAACTGGATCGCCGCAAGACGGTGCAAGACCCACGGAGACAAAGCGCATTCTTTAAACACCAGATTTGCATTTATTTCATAGACAGATATATACAGACACACACACAGGGTGCTAAATTAAATTACAGGAATCAACTGTCCGTAGGCGAACGGGGATCTAGCTTGGCTTATTTTATTGAGGGGGGCGCGGGGGGAACTCTGGGTTCAACCGGCCCACATCTCTTTCTCCGCGGGGACAGGAGAAAGCGGGAAGCGCCACACTGAACAGGCAAATAAAAGCTCTCTATTTTTTAATCCGTCTCGATTCGCAAGAAGAGCCACGAGTGTGCCGTCCCTCCTCCCCCCGCCCCCAAAACGGCTTTGCATAAGAACCGAGCTATGAAACTGGGGGGGCTGAGTGTGGAAGTTTAAAAGGCACTGTCCTTTTCTAAAGGAACCCGCTATCCAATCGTTCGATTTTCCTCTACTGTCCCACATTTCCTCCCCGATCCACACCGTCCGATAAAATTCACGGCTTTTGAGCCCCGGGAGGCCTTCCTGCTTGTGCCAACTCATTCCCTTGGCACAGGAGGTGGTGAGCTGGGAAACTTGGGGGACGAAGCGGCAAAGGAGAGGCAACTGCCTACGTCCAGCGGGTTTGCAGTGGCGCGATTTTCCACGCGGAGTCACAATCCCGTTCATGTTTCCAACACTCTGATCAGGGGCAAAGGTTTGGGCCCCACAGGCTTGGCGAACCTTTTGCTGGAGGAAAAGGAAGAAGAAGAAGAAAAAAGAGATTTATTGCGGGAACGAAGGTGTGCAAAGATTTGACGGGGTCTCACCGTATGCTTTGCAACGTTCGGCGTTTCCCCAACTACATCTGGGCAGGATTCGCATTAAGGGCCCAAAGCTATCTCTGTAACAGAGATTGATGGCCTGTTTACAGCCAGCTGCTCTTTCTGCTCTGCCTGGACTCGAATGGCGGTGAGAGGGGGGCATTTTGCGCAGAGCTGAGGCGGGTTCAAGTCACCGTTTTGCTGCAAAGGTCCTCCCGTGGCTGCGATAAGTATTCTCGGTTATGATTCCACTTACGTTGCTCTTTTCTGCCCAGAAGACTATTGTTGAAAGGGAAGTGGCGTGTTGGGTTCTTGGCGCGCTCTGATCTTGGTTGTTTCCTTGCAGATGTTTCATTACCCAGCCAGGTAACACCCCCAGTGCGAGGGGTTTGTTGGCGGAGAGTAGCTCGCCCTGCCAGCAAGCCCCAACCCGCCCCTGACGATGTTACCTAGCTGGGTAATGAAGCGTCTGCAGGAGGGCACCAAGGACCCCACGGCTCAACCCTGAGCCACGAGAAGAAGCCCTCGACCTCTCCTGCAGCCCCCCCAACTGGAAGCTTGAGATGTGAGGAGGATGGCCCACCCGACCCACCACGCTGGTCCTCAAGGGGAGGCGGGCATGCGGTGATGCAAGCCGGGCTCCCCTCTGTGCCACGGCTCACCTGCTGACGGTCTCCGACTTGGAACGGGAGCGGGCAGGGAAGGCACCGGGGTTGGCTTGCTTTTCGATCAGGTGCTCCATGCGGTCGTGCATCTCCAGGTTCTTCCGTGCGGGAAAGAAGGCAAGGAGTTAAACCCCTTGCCCAGAAGCGAGGAGCTGGGTCGCGGCTCAGGGGGCCCGTCCTGACGAGCAGCCTGGCCTTGCAAGTGGCCCTCTTCAGTTCCTCGGCCTTAGCCACTTTAAGATGGCTGGACTTCCACTCCCAGAATTCCCCAGCCGCCCCATCAGATGCCAAAATCTCGACTTAATTCACCAAAAACAGGCACTGCACTCTGGGAGCCCCTTTTCGGACTCCCAAAGGCGATTAACGCAACTCTTCTCTGACAATGGGGTGCCCAGACTCCAGCAGTACCCTAACGGTCCACCAGAGGGCAGCGGAGCACAGCCTGGGACCATACTGCAGCCTCCCCCCAACCCAGGATGATGGGAGTGGGAGTCCTACATCTCCATGCTTCCAAAAGCATTGGGCTGGTTTTAGACAGGGAGGGGAGTCCACAACAGCTGCCAGCCATGACCGTTTGTGGAGCCTCCCGATTCAGAAGCCATCGATCCCTGAACCCCAAATGAAGGGGAAGCTCGGAAGATGTTGATTCAGGGCAACTAAGATGTTGGGTGTCATGGAAGGGGGTATTTCTATGCTCCAATTGCCCAGCTCAGGGCCAAGACGAAGGCGTCTTCGTTTAATGTCCATAGTGTGCCCTTTGTCCAGAACAGTGAGGACTGGAATCTTTTCTAAGGGACGGGCCAGAGAATCTAGGGTTACAGCACCATGGATGGCCGCCAGGCAAGCTTGTGGACAGCCCCCCCCCCAAACCCAGTCAGTGGGACCCTCGAGCAGCAAAACCAGAGCCAGCCCCTCACCTCGGCCTCCAGATACGCCACTCGCTCCTTCAGCTCATGAATGATCGCGTCTTTCGACTGGATCACCGTCTTGGAGTTCTGCAGCTGAAGAGGAAGACCGGAGATTGGAGCTGACCCCGGGGGGCCCAGCGCCCGCCCCCGCCCAGTCGTCCCGTGGACTGCCGGACCACCCCCCACCCTCGCCTGGCCACACCCACCTGCTCGATCATCTGCCGGACTTTGCGTTGCTGGCTCTTCAGCATGTCGTCCAAGTGGTGAATCTTCTCCCGCAGAGTGGCCACCTCCTTCTCCAGCTTGGCCGACCTGGGGGAGAAGGAAAGGGAAGGAATGGTTTGTGGGCGGTGGCAGCTTCCGCCAGGGAGGGCTGAGCCGATCCCTGGGGTTGGCTGCGGAGGGAGGCGGGAGCCACTTCGGGGCCCGCCCCGGCCCCGGGCTCAGCCACAGCCTCACCTTTCCTGCTCAGCAACCTTGTCCTGCTCCAAGTTCCTCAGTGCTTCCAGCTCCGCTTCGCCATCTCTCACCTTCTGCAAGAGGATCTGGTGTTCCTGCACGAGGAGGAAGAGGGAGGCGGGATGGGACGGCCGCCCAGCCCCACGCCCCTTCCTGGCACCCCCGGGCCCAGAAACACACTGGACTCCGATTCCTGCTTGCTGGTCTGGCTCAGGGGCCCCACACCCCCCAATAGAGGTGCTTGCTTTCACCCCAAGTGACCTCCTTCCAGAGGAATCCAGCAAGGGGCCTTGGGAACTGACATGATGCAAGACCTCCCTTCCTTCCCGCAGCCCTGGATGACAGTTCCCATCGCTGGAAGGGGGCAAAGAGGCCCAATTCCCCGACAGCAGGGCCCTTCCCGGGCCCAAGAGAAAATGGTGCCCGGGGCAGATCTGCAGACCAACGTCCATTTCAAAGCTGAGAGGAGGAGGAGGAGGAGGAGGAGGAGGAAGAGGAGGCATATATTCTCCAGCGTTACCTTCTCCATGCCAGTGAGAAGCCTTTGTAATTCTTCCAGTTTAAGGTCCTTCAGTTCCAACTCCGTTTCGGCTTTCCGGAGGGCTATGCCCGACTGTTCTGCCTCCCTCCGGTAGTGGGAGATGGATGTCTGCAGCACGAGACGAAAATCTGGATTGGAAATTCTCCCCACCCGGTAGAAACCCAGAGCAATCCAGAGTTGCTGGTATCCCCGCACAACTTTTCCTATGCTATAAAACAGGGCTAGATCGCAGCACGTGCAAGAAATCACGGGATCTGTGCAAAAAATCACGGGATCCGTGCAAAAGGGCGCACATTTCCTCGATTCTGGCCAGAAGTGCCACATCTCAGCTGATTGCAAGGACTGGCCCTTGAGGAATGCTGCCTAGGCCTGCTCTTTTCCTCTACCCTCCCCGTCCCTTTTTCCCTTACATGTCGTCGGTTTCAGACAGCCTGCTTGAAAAAGTACTCTCTGTATTTACAAACGTAAGCCTCTTCCCTTAAGCGAAACCATCCTTCAATTCTTCGGGGCTGCCAAGTTTAGAAACCTCCTTTTTCTGTCTGAGCGGAAGGGCAGGATACAAATAGTTCTTTCACCAGCTACGAACCCCACACCTCCCAGAAATTCTCACTCCACTGGTTTTCGACAGAAAAGGCATTTTTTCTTAATTATTTGTCTACCGAGATTAGAGCCGGCAAAGCATTACCCATTTCCCTGCCAGGAGTCAGGACATTATTGCAGGTTTCAGCCCCTCCTGTTTAAAGGGCGCATTGCAAAATAGACATCCGGGACTTCCCTTCAAGCTCACCTCGTAGGCAGCCCGATCCGACTGATGCCTCTTCTCAGCCTCCTGAAGTTTAGAAAACAGCCTCTTGGTGGTCTCGCGCATGACCGAGATGTCCTCGGCAGGATACATCGGCTCGTCCTACGCAGAAAGATGGGTCAGAAGAGGGGTCGAATCGAGGGGCAGAAAACTCCATTTGCTCACCACACAAGAGAGCTTCGAAAGAGGTTTTCATGCCAATTTAAATCACGCCGATATTATTCCAGTAGTCATACCAGATATTATTCCAATGATGGATTTTTTTTAATGGACCGATACGTTGTTTGTTTCACGCTTAAAGGGGCTAAAATCAGATAAATGTGGGCAGGAGAAACTAAAATCAGAGTAATGAATTTCATGCACGTGCTGCTAGACTCCCAGCACCCGTGCAAGGTTTCGTGCCCCTTCTTAAACAGAAACGCGTCGATCCGAGGAAGCTGTCCTAAAGACCCCAAACGTCACGAGGCTCTCCGGCATCGACCCATGTTCTGGGGGAAACCCCTAGAGCCCCGCCTTCGAACTCAGCCCCTTCCCCACCCCGAGTCCTGGCACAGACCTGGCTTACGGATACGCTGCGATACGAAACCGTTCGAAGAGGCTGGAAGCCATTTGGCTTGTCCGGGGGAAGCTGCATTTCAGAAACAAAAACGAAACCCCGTTAGGCGTGTCACTGGGGCCATGAATCCATCTTCGGGCCGGTGGGGTGCCCAACCTTGGGGTGATGAGTCTGGCAGACCTGCAGTGAGTGGCAGTGAAGAACCCAACCCATCTCTCTCCAGCGTCCCACCCACATTCTGAAGCCACGGCCCTCCTACCCCGCGTCGCCAAGGCACCAACGGGCGCGGCGCAGATGCAGCTCAGCCAAGAAACACAGCACAGAGACAGAGACAACAATGCTCTGCCAGCCAGCTAAACATCTGGGAAGGGCATCCCACCCACTCAAGTTAAGAGTGAATCAGCCAGCTACGCGGGCAAGCCTTTGGTGCCAGGGAGACGGAAACCGTCTCCTGCCAAACTCAAAAAGCTCCTTTCCGCGCAAAGCTTGTGTGCTTTGCAACCAGTCCAGGCTGCCAAAGTACCCACGGAAGGGGGGCCGGGAGTCGGGGGAGGGATAAAGGCCCATATCTCTGTGCAGAAAAGCAAGTGATTTCAGGGGTCGAAGAGGCAAGCCTGTTCCCTAGAAAAAGGGGGTGGCTTGCCTCTTCGTCTGCAAGAGCTTCAAGGCAAAAATCTGAAAGCTGCGTGGAAGCACCGAAGAGGGTTTTTCAAACCCGAGGCTTCCACCAGAACGTGACGGGGTTAAGTGCAGGAAAAAAACACAGCCAATTTTCGATCGCCTCTCCGTTGCGGGCTCCGGGAATTTGTGTGTTCATCTTTTTCTTTTTTTTTAACTAAGAGTTTGAAAACTCGGCCCAGCGTTTGCAAAGCCGCCAAGGGAGGATGCACTGAGCGCTCCGGCGAGTCATCAGTTTTCCCAAAAGCTGGCTTCCGTTGGCGGCTCGCCTCCCCCCCCCTTGGTGGCGGGG